GACTTAACCTGTGGACTTTCTGAAAATGTTAAAACTTCTAACTTTTCTCGATAAAAGAACTTAAACTTTTTTAGCTCTTTAGCTTTATAATATTATAAAGTAAAATTAGCAATCATTTTACTATWTTATAACATCAAAGTTTTAATTTATTTCTGCCAAATACATTGTATTTATTATAATATTAATTATACTATAATAGTATATAATTATATGACCGTATGCTAGCTGTCTTACCCGGTATTGTATTACATAATATTCATACATTATTTAATCATTTATCACTTTATTAATTACTCTTATAGTCCTATTTAAATATCTCYAATTTCCATAATATTCCTGCGTACCAAATAATAGGTATCATTGATAGTTCTTCAAATATTTTAGTGTTTAAATTAAAATTTGTATGCATTTTTAATAACAAAGTAATCTGTAATATTTCATGATTGAAAAACTAACAGCAAATTCAATACATTCACTGCTCTACTCAAAACTAAATTGGGTATTTCAAATACATACATATAGTGTCAATAAATATTTTTCAAGTTCAGTTCTAAAGTTCTAAATTGTATACAATTTATGAATAAATAATAAAATAAATATTCAAAGTGAAATAGTAAATATTCATAAAATAAAAATTTAAAATTATCAATTACAGTTACTTAATCGAAACATTAAAAAAAAAATTTTTTTTCAGATCAAAAGGGAGATGACGAATTAACGATACAGATAATGTATCTTCTATATCAACTTATGTGTCATCCAATTACAGGAGATTATATCATTCAAAATACAGGTCAATAAAAATACAATTCAATTAGAAGATATTATATACCTATCATAATATATTTTTCCTAAATAACTATTTAAAAAAAAAATTATTTTTAATTTAATATACAATGAATGAGTTGCCCAAAAAGCTATATATATATATATATATATATATATAATGATTAACTGATGATTACTCTGTTTATAGATTAAATCTATTTAACATTTATAAATTTCAATAAATACGTATCAGTTGTTATCTTAAAAGATTATGAATTATGATAATGTAGGGATATTATTTTATTTATGTTAAAATAAATAACATATGACTAGAACTGGTTAGTGAAATTAGGAATTCCCACAATTAGGTACATTATAAAACTAGCAAAAATACTCATCATTCAACCAACGTAGAATAGCTTTAGATCATATTATACTGTACTCTGTTCAAGTTAAAAAAACATAGTCAGAGGCTAAACTTGTGCACTTTTATGTGGCAATACTACTAGGCAGATATTATACARATAGTTGACTTGGTGAAGATAATATACTGGTATTGCCTTTTTTKCGACCCAATGGAAACTAGTTGCTGCTGACTTTGTTTCTTAACTTAAACAGAGTATACGATTAGTATAATACATAGTTGATGAACCTTTTATGGRTCAAATAACAAATTAATTTAATTAAGATTTTTAAAATTGTTCAAGTTTCCAATGYCATAAATACTAAATAGTACATAATAAATATAACATTTTACATACCTAAGAGTATTAAAAAAATTTTAAATGTATATAATTTGTTTCTTTTAATTTCCTA